ATTGTACCTCTTCCTTCAACTTGTACAATATCTCCATTTCCCAGTTTAACTTTGGTTTGGATAGCCTTATCCAAAGAAGTAAAGAGACTTGAGTCCCTCACCATGTGGTTTGGGCACCCACTATCAACATACCATACATCTTTTGAACCTGAATTACTTGTTTGGGTAGCCATAAACAAGTGTTCTTCATCTTGGAGTTGCTCATCGGTGAAGTTAACTTGATGTGCATGTTGTGGTTGAGATTAGTTCTGCTTGAATTTGTAGTACCTCTCTCTATGTCCCCACTTATTGCAAATGTTACATTGGATTTGAGGTTTCCCCTTATACCAACAATTTTTTGCATGTAAAATAAGGAGGAAAATGGATGTTTGCTGCAAATTCACTACTTCCATCCATCTTAGTTTTCCCCCATGGTCACCAACTGCTTTATATTTATGCTTTTTTTAATTTTTCTGACCAGCTTGCTTCCCCTTATGTCTTGCATTAAATGCACCTTCAGTTACATCATCCATTCTCATGGAGAATCTTTGCTCATGCGCTTGCAATTTACTAACCATTTCAAAAATGATTAGTTTCTTAAGATCACATGAATCTTCAATGGCAGCAACTTTGGCTTCAAATTTTACAAGTAGATTGATCAACATTTTTTTTACTACCTTGTGGTCATGGACAACCTCACCATATAACCTCATTTGGTTCACCAAGTGAGACAACTTTGAAGTGTACCCCTCTAATTAATTAAACCCTCTAATTATGGGGAATAAAGTGCATTGTCAAATTCAACATTAACAACAATGCACTAAATTTTTTTTTGTTATATTGCTGTTGAACAAAGAAGATTCATTGCTAACAGTTTTGCAAAATCTCATCGGTTTACTTTTAAAATACATCAGACTCAAACAGCAATAACATCCTTAATACATCAGACTCAATTAAAAGGTTTAAAAGAGTTGTACTCAAGTTTCACTGTAAGCCCTTGTAGTGTCTTAACACTGCTCTAACTTGGAATGAGACAACATATCCTCTCCTTAAACTTTTAACCAAAATAAATAAATAGAGAGTAGTACTTACAGTTTGTTACACTCTGGATACTTTCATTGAGCTTCATACATCCAGAATGAATATAGGCTTTAACTCTCTTAGTTTCATTAGCTACAATTATATTCTTGACTAATTTAGAATTCATATCTATAGGAGGCCTCCCAATAAATTTTGCACAACACAAGTAATAAGTTATAGTTATAACATCAGTGAATGAATTAGTAAGCAATATTATTATTTTACACTAACACATGTTTACACAAAATTTTGTAGAACTACCAAGTGCTTGTTGAAAGCCAGACAACAACCTACTTCCAGCAATGCCCAACTCAACAATTTTTGTAATCCTATCATAGGGTAGCTGTTGAGATATAAATTTATACAAATATGTTATGTGATACAAAGAGTACAGAACATATATGTGCCTTGTATGTTTGTATGTACGAGTGTGCGTGTATCTAGGGCCTGATGCTTATGTCATAAGAGCATACCAAGAAATTTTCATAATGCATTATTCTATCCATTTCTTAACTATTTAACATTTATCCCATTATGCCATTCATGAGTAGTAATCATCACCTCCAACTGCTAGGAGTAAGGGTCATTTATAGTTATTGCACATCTTTTATTTGTGTGTGTATAATGGCAACGAGTAGGTTTGAACCTAAGACCCCATACAAACTATACAAAAGTCCCACTACTAGACTAACCTTAATGAGTATAGTTATTGCATATCCAGAGCTAATTAACTTGAAATCATTAGTAATGAGCTACTGATCAGTGTTTACATGGTATGTGATATGTCTTGAAATCAAACCTTCATGATCATGATCTTTTGCCTTCCTATTAAAAGTAAAACAAAATCTTCCAAGAACTTCAACTGATGCTTATAATGTTTGTACCCACGCAAAAAAAAAAATTCTTAAATTATTTCATTACACGCCTAGACATGAATTCAATTTATTGATTTGAAGCTCCTTCAGGAACTCCATGTAAAACTATGATTCTTGTAACGAGGTACTCATGAGAACGAAAATATTATTTCATATGAAGTAGTTCTCAATCTCATCTTACCAAGAACAATCCCATGGAAATTTTCAATTTTGAAGGGCAAGCGCCAGTCAAGGCAAACCTAATTTGTTTACTCTATAAACAAATATAACTATCATGTATAATACCAATGAATCTTGGCAGTTGGCATAGAGAAAAATAAGAAAAAGGCTAAAAAGTAGTAAGATTGGCAATTACCTTGTCATAAAATCTCTGAATTTGTGAAAAATTTCTTTCTCAAAGTTAAATTAAGTTTACAAATGAACCAAATGGACCAAAGAAATATGCGCATATATAGAGAGATACAGAGAGAGGAGGGGCCATTCATATATTGTAAGAGTAAGTCTTGTTATACTCAAAGTCTCAAACCGGTCAGAAACTTCTTAAGGACATTGAACTTCACCATCCAACAACTGGATTAAAAGTTCTCACGGAGCAAATCATGTTAAAAATTTTCTTACATTTTAAATTCTACTTAATACTTCATTGTGTCACAATTGTCAATCTTAGTGGTGCAGAGCAGCTGATCCAAAAAATGGTATAGCAGATAGAAGATATAATTATATAGGTGTGTGTTGGTAGAGTTACTAGTTTGTAGCCTTTTATACAAATGATGTAATAACGTTTTCCGATTCTAATAATCAATATATTCCTTTTTCAGTTTTATACACTTTTCTCTTTATAATTATGCTTTTTTTGATTTTTCTGACCAGCTTGCTTCCCCTTATGTCTTGCTTGAAATGCACCTTCAGTTATATCATCCATTCTCATGGAGAATCTTTGCTCATGCGCTTGCAATTTACTAACCATTTCAAAAATGATTAGTTTCTTAAGATTACATGAATCTTCAATGGCAACAACTTTGGCTTCAAATTTTACAAGTAGATTGATCCGCATTTTTTTGACTACCTTGTGGTCATGGACAACCTCACCATATAACCTCATTTGGTTCACCAAGTGAGACAACTTTGAAGTGTACTCCTAACTGATTCACTTTCCTTCATTTTCATCATTTCAAACTCTCTTAAGAGTTAATAGCTTGATGGATCTCACCCTTTCATCACCTACATACCTTTCATTCAGCTCATCCCATATTTGTTTTGTTATTTCCATATGCATAATGCTCGTAAAAACATCATCTATCAAAGCTGAATGTAAACATGAGACAACTTTTTCCTTCTTCAAAATCTCCTCCTCATGTTGCTTCATTTGAGCTATGGTAGGATTACCCTTCAATTGTGGAACTTGTTTATCTTGATCTACATACTTCCATAAGCCAAAAGACTTCAAACATAATCTAATTTTGACAATCTATATATGATTGCTTTCGCCAGAAAATTAAGGAAAAACAAATACTCCATTGTTCCCCCAAAGCCATTTTATCACTCACAAGTGTTTAATCTCTCCCCTCAATTTTTCAGACCCACAACTTATAAGAACAATGCTCTTGATACCACTTTTAGGGCATGCAATGGGTAGCAGAAGCATAAAACATAAAAATCATATAAAATCATAAAACAAAGAAGAGGAAATGTTAGCGAACAACAATTTTGTATTTGTTGGATAACTATACTATTCATGTTTTTCATTCATATACAAGGAAAATACATGAAAAATGACAACAATACATAGTGTCCATAAACGTTGTCAAATACCCAGTAGAATATTATCCATTGGAGTAAGCAAACATAATTATAACAGAACTTTACCCACTAATACAAGCAACAATAATTAATAACAACAGTAAAAAAACATAGCAAAATTTTACTACTTTAACAGTTCCATCTTTAACATCGACTCTCCCTTATTGGATGCACGGGAATGGGGCCTTCCCACCAATCAAATTTTTGTTCAAAAATAAAATCTTATTGGACTAATCTAGTTCATCCTTTGGAACCATATCACATCCCAAACATGATAAAATAAGATGAATTGAAATGGGATTTTGAAACTACAAAATTATCTTGAATAAATTCACTATTTCTTTATTTTCTGATTGTCTAGAAGGAACAAAGATTTTTTTTAATTTTTTTTTAACAATTTCTGATATCAAGTATATCTCTCTCTAAGATTTGAACTCAAATGAAAGATTCCGATTTGTCGAACCAGTTGTTAGAAATTAAGAATTGAAATGAGAAAAAAAATGATACCTTATTTCTTGATTACAAAATAACAAAAATATTTTTATGTATAAAAAATCATAAATTCTAGAAATCATGATGTATAAAGAATAATTAAAATTTGTTTCGTTGATCATAAGTATTTTTTAAAATATTTTTAAATATTACTCTAAATTCACAAATTTTCCTACCTTAAATAAACAAAGATAATGTAACATTTTTTTATTGCATTAAAATTTAAATTTTAACTTGAGACCGCTAACTTCTTGTCCCTCTCATGGAAACTATTTTGTGAAAAATCTATAAAGAAAACATTCTCAAGAAATAATATTTCTTAAGACTATTATTTTTTAAATAACAAATCAAACATTAAAAGTTAATATTCTCAACTTTAGATTTTTGAAAAAATAAAGACATTTTAGGTATCAACCAGTCGCATAGGATTTTTCCCTTGACCGAGACCTAATGCTCAATTTACAACGGACAGATATCCATGATCCTTCTTTTACTATTTATATCTAATTAAGCCCTCTAATTAATTAACTTGTTAATATTCTAACAATCCGAACTAACTCCCCCCTTCCGGCATTTCCTAGTCCTAACAGGTTAATCCTTGCATGCGCAATATGATACACTAGGGCCTAGGGGTTAGGGAGACTAAGGTTGACAAATAATCGGATCTAAAATATCTAACCAAACATATTTTCTTATTTTCTATTTTTTTTTAATGGAAACAAATGGTGAAAGCAAACAAGCCAGCAAATGGTGAGAATTGGAATTCGAACAATAGAAAACGGCTGAACGCTTTAATTAACATGAAATTAAATGATTATTGATTTGATTTTTGTCAGAAAAAATAGGAGGGGGAGGCATACCAATGTCAAAATAAAGTAAAATTCTAGAAAAGCAATGGTGCTTCTATAGCATATAATTTTATCCCTAATGGTAACTGATTTTGTAATAAGAAACAAAAGAGAGAGTTCATTGAATATGTTCCCAGGCTTGATGAACAATCTCATCGTTTATGAAGGGGCGCAAAGACCACATTTGGCAGTAGCTTCCTAGTTCTTCTGATGACATCTTGAGATCTAAAGCAGACACGATCTTTTCCTGCAACCAAAAGCAAGAGTTTAAGGATTCTTCATTTTACCGATTGTAAGGTCACAATCACAAAGACACCATTCATTACCTGCATCAAATAGTCTTGCTTGACCATGCTGTATATGAAAGCCATTACCTTCGCTAAATGTGTGACATCGGAACTTTTCTTTTTCCTGGTAGCTGTGACATCAGGAGTTTGAGAATGAGACAAAGCATCCTTTTCCTCCTGAGAAAAGGTGCAATTGTTGTTCAAGTGAGCAAGAATTCCATAATTTCCATTATTACATTTACATCATGTAAAGATTTCTTTCTTCCTATTTCTTTTCTTTTGCTGAACATCATGTGAATGATTCGTGAATCTAGTGGAGATGTACAACTTCCCGACAAAGAAGAAAAAGAGGTCATTGACCTTGCATTGCATAGTGAATATGCGCGTAGCTTTTCATTTTCTTTGTGAAAGTTGAGGGTTGGATTTGTGCAGAAAAAAGGGGGTGAGGCGGGAGGAGGGACAACAAGCTCTTTAACAGGTTTTATTTGTAAAGATTATTATAACAAGCTTGACTTAACATGTAAATGTATCAAATAGCAGGATTCAGAGATATATGAGGACAAAACCATATACCATATGATATAAAGGTTATATGTGAATATAACAAAGTAATCTGACACTGATATTTTACCATCAAGTTAAAAGATTTCTTCTGGGGTTAATTTTTCTTTTGGGGGAGGGTCCAAAAGGGGAAGTAAACCCTAAATCCTTTTATAATTTACTCATTAAAGGAATATCTGGGAAAAAAGATAGCAATTGCATTAAAAATTCTTAATAAAGTCAATAGTATTACCAAATCATCATAAGTTGCCTGTTCATTCAACTCAACATCAAAATCCAGATCAGAGAGGGGTAATAAATTTCCATGTCTAGTCTGAATAGCACTTGTTACATCCTCCAATAGGCCTTCAAGTTCATTAAGTATTTCCTTAGCTGCAAGACAAACGTGACTAGTTAATTGTCAAACCAAGTGCATGTTTATGGAAGATTAATTTTGTTACAATCTCTTATTTTTCAAAAATTCTCTCAAAAAGATAGTAAAAATAAGCAAAAAAAATTAAAATAAACTGAAAAAATACATATTAAAACAACAAAAGCAAGATCACAAAGATGATTACAACAGTAGGATTACATCCCAAGAAAATATATACAACATAGTGCGACAAGTTATTCTTCTCACACACCACTCCTAATGCAACAAAGGGGGGTTTGATTTTGTTAAATGGACTTTCTAGGCATTTTGTTAAACAGAACTTCAGTATCTACCACTTAAACATCTCACTGAGGAGCCGAAAGAAGTCCACTACTTATTAGGTAAATAAATACAGATTAAAAAGCAATATTGACAATTGAAAGGAAGTTTCCTCCATGTCCTAGTTGGAACATATCTTCATAAATTACGTTAGTAAGTTTGTTTATTCCAGGTACAAATGTCAAACGTTAGCTGTTGTGAACGTTGAAGACAATATGAATAAAGGCCCAGTGTTCCAAATGGTAAAATAAAGTAACTCGTTTCTCTTTCAATATTCAAAACAGGAACATATATTACCGTGATATTTTTTTCCCAATAGAATCAAACTCAGTACTAAGGAGGTTTATAACAACCCATACACCTTTTTCAATCAACTGAGTTAGACTCTCACCCTATGATATGGTGTATTGAATATATAGGCTTATTTTAAGCAGTCACTAATGGTCATACCTTTGCTTATATGGTTATGGAGTCCATGTGTGCATGAGTGCACTACCACCATATGCAGATTTTGCCATATTGAAACAGTTACACGGTCAGCAAAAAAAAATAGCAATAAATTTAAATAAGTAGAATTCAAATTGAGAATTCATAATAGAAGATTGTATAATGCTGTTTCAAACACATATCATTTGGAACAAAAAACATCAACATCAAGACATGTCATGGTGAAGTCACTTTTAAAAAGAAGGAAAAAAATTAGAGGGAAACAAAAAAGAAGTGAAAAAAGAGGCAGTAAAAAATTAAAGAAACAAGATTGCAAGAAATGTCAACCCAAAGTCCCCATGAAGATCTTGCTTTGATAAATTCCTATTTATCATAAGAATGAAAGGCAAGCAAGATAATTTAATGAGAACAAAAATCATGAATGAAAGACGGTAATTTTGTAAAATGAAGGTGCATAGATTTTGTGTAAAATTATGGGGAATAAAGTGCATTGTCAAATTCAACATTAACAACAATGCACTAAAAAAGAAATCTGTCATATTGCTGTTGAACAAAGAAGATTCATTGCTAACAGTTTTGCAAAATCTCATTGGTTTACTTTTAAAATACATCAGACTCAAACAGCAATAACATCCTTAAGACATCATGTAAACACCTAATTTCGTCCGAAGGCATACAAACAAGGGAATGGACCTCTGTTATGAAGGAAAGAAACTCCCGAAGAGTGCAAACGACAAGATAGGACTTTAGAAGACCCAAAAGCCCAAATAAGCTAATTTTAGAAGACTGCAACGGGCTGTTCCAAAAACCGGAACGGGCCGTTCCCAATTTGGAACGGGCCGTTCCAAGTTTTAAAAATGGCCAACAATCCTAATTTGGAACTGGCTGTTCCTAAATTGGAACGGGACGTTCCAAGATTGGAACAGGCCGTTCCAAACTCTTCAAAAGAGGGCCAAAACTTTAACGGGAACGGGCCGTTCCCAAACTGGAACAGGCCGTTCCAAGTTATAAAAAGAACATAAACAGCCTTGTCTGGAACGTCCGTTCCACTCTAGCCAATTATGTGTTAATTTCACCTCTGGAACGGGCCGTTCCAATTCCAGAACAGGCCGTTCCAGTCACAAAATTAACACACAACGTTCATATCCAGAACGGGCCGTTCCGATTTTGGAACAGGCCGTTCTGGACCCTTGCTGAAGTCTATAAATAGACATCTGGGGCTCATTTCTCAGGACTCCAAAATTTCGTCCAGACTCCTTAGAGCACGAAATTTTTCTCTTTCTCTCTCCCCTCTCTTTTGTATTTCTTGAGATTTTTGTGAGACATTGTAGTGTGAAGGGTTTCCACAAAGCACCTAAAATCTTCCTGTTTTGAAGATTCAATAGAGCTCATTCAAGAGGTATTTCAGTTAATCTTTTTCTCCTTTTTTATTTATTTCTTCTCTATAATTAATATTGTTATAATAAAAATAATCATGTAAACATTTTAGGGTTAATTATATAATTTAAATTTCAAGCATGTAAATAATTATTAATAAAAGGGGATTTAATATTTTTATTATTATTTATAATTCTAACTTCATCATAGGGTACCGATTAAGGGCGTTGTAGGAGTGCTTAATACCTTCTCTACACGTAACCAGGCCCCGAACCCAATTGTGGTTATCAAGGCCATTATTGGACTTTTAAAAAAACCTTTTATTTTTCTAATGTTTTGAATAAAACATTGGTGGCGACTCCATGAACTCATTTTTCAAAACCAATTAAGGATTAGTCTGGTGTCCGGGCATTCCTTAATTGATGAGACTTTTAAAAGAATGTCTAAACCATTAGTCGCAAGATCAGAAATTTTCGAGTTGCGACAGATGGCGACTCCGTTGGAGACGTTTAAAGAGGGTTAGGTCCATTTAATTGATGAAGTTAATAAAATAAATAATAATTTAAATATTTTTTCCCCTTTATTTTATTTGTTTTATTTGTTTGGTTTTAACATATGTTTGTTTGTTTATTTAAATTCTATACCTGTTTGAATAAAACTGTACACAATCCTTTGCACACAACAGTTTCCCCTACACCCGGGGCATGAGAGTAATAAACATAGGGAGTGGTTGACGTACGACCGGCCCAAGTTTGGCCTTGGAGCCTGCGAGCCTTGTCGGAAATCACACTCAAGGTGATAACCGGTTACTCTAGCCTGAAATACTGCGAAAGACCTTAGAGTTTGTCAGGTGACGGCGACAGAGATACTGGGTCCCTATAATGGGGGCACCTTGGAGACCTTAAGACTAGTGAGATTAGAACTGTCCTATACAATGCACTTTTCTTGCAGGGACCACAAACCAAGGATTTAAACGTGACTGTTCGCAGGTGTACATTTATTTGAGCATATGTGTGTTGCATTTGTTTGTGTTTATTTATTTCAAATGGATAAGAATTACAAATAAATAGATATTAATATAAAAAAATGATAAAAATTTTAACTCCCTTCTGTATACCCTATAACTCTAAAGCATCATATATGGTAGTTTATTTCAAAAAAAAAACAAGAAAAAAAATATAGCAAAAATCATGCATCATTCCCCTTTAGTAACAAAAAAAATGATAAAATTTAGGCAAAAACAAATATCAAGCATCTTTTAGTTTAGCATATGCATTCATTAGAAAATGGAAGGCACATAGTACGTAAAGATTTTTGAGAAAGGAGAACATTCTTAAATACAAGATTTGTGTGCCCTTATATTAAGGAGGCCTACTAGACTTTGGATTCTCGTCATCTTTTCAACAGAAGGCAAAATCTACATCTTCTCAGACTTCTTCCAATCTAGAAAGATGTCATTCCTCAATTCAAATAGGAGATTATTTAAAATTTTGAAAAGGAGGCACGCAAAAAAAAAAAAAAAGGAAATTGAAGCAATATATAAAAAAAAATAAATAAAAAGAATTTGCTTCAAAAGAACATAGTTTGGGAAGCTAAAGAAAACTCCCCTGATGAACAAGAAATCATGAATCTAGGGAGTTAAAAAAAAATTGATGATAAGCTCCATCACACCTCCAATTCGTTATCAAATCACTCCAAACTGCATCTTTCTTCTCTGACTCATTAACCTCGTCAACAAAGATGAAAATTTTGGCATCACCAAAATAGTAGGGAACCCGAAGATCTTATTGACGGTTACTTCTGATGGGAATAGCAAGAAGAATCTGAGAAGAAACGAAGACTAATTGCAAATCAACGAACGAGCAAGCATGTCCATAGGGACATCATTCAAGCATGAGCTTCTGTAGCAAAGAATGCACCGAAATATCTTGTACAAAGAATGTTCTCTAAACAAACAAATCAATGAGAATGATATTTGTTGAATTTCTCAATCATCTTTGCATCTTATTTTATGTTTCATATAGACAGCATGTCTTCCTTGTAAATAATAAATAAGAATAAAAAGGGAAATCTAACCTGTGCGTGTTGATCAAATAATAAGATCACTGGCGATACATCAAATTGGAAGCACTTAAAAATCAGTAATTGTGCAAGAAGACTGGGGGGCATAACACGCCCAAATTGACAATCAAACACCGAGAGTTCCCCATGCGGAAATGACAACTGTTGGGATATAAGGAATAAGAATGAATGAATCCTTGCTTTTAGGGAATTACAACAAAACCCAATTGAAGAATAAAGGCGTTGCAGGACAAAACCCGCTAGGACGAAAACCCGTAAAGGGAGTCTTAGGCAAAAATTAGGGTAAAGAAAAAAGAATCAAAATCCCGATAAGATACGTCCTATGCAAAAATTAGAGATACATAAAAATAAAAAAATAATAAAAAATAAAAATAAAGTAATGACTGCTTGAATTGAAAACCGAAAGGCGGCTTAAGTATTCCCTTTAGAAAGCAAGAATTCATAAAGGTTTCACTCCGAAGTCGAAACACCCACATTCAAGCAAGTGGGAATGCATTTCTAACGTAGTTCAACCAATCGTCAACCATGCCTCTCTAGGGGGCAGCCTCGGTTAATCTCTCTGTGTACGAATCACGAACTCGGGGCATGCCCGAGCCTTCGAGCTTTGCTAAAGGGGAACGTGTAAATTGGAAGTACTATTTTAAATGCCATAACATTCTTTCATTTATTTTTCCCCTTTAAATATTCACTCTAGGCCTCATCCATTAACCCTTAACAAAGAAAATGTATTTGTGACAAAGATGTTACTCAATAATAGCATGGAAAGGATAACAAAGGAACAATCAGGAATCCAAACATGACTAGGGTTTGATAAAATAAAGACATCTCATACCTCATGAGTGCTGCAAAAAAAAACAGCTTGGTAGGAAACCCATTAAGGGAGCTGCACAAAAGTTAGGGCAAGATCTGCTAGGCAACCTACAATCAAAAAGGGAAACCTAGACAAAAGTAAGGATCGAAAAAAAGGGTCTGCTAGGGAACATATCTTAAGTAACCTAGGCAAAAGTTAATGACGTCAAAGCAGCGACCTGAGTCGAAAATTGAAAGGCGGCTTAGGGAATCATCTAAACAAAGCACAACCCCAAGTCATCACTCCACTTTCCAGAAAGGCTGAAACACAATGATGACTTCCTTGTAGCAAATACATTTTGTTTGATAACCCTAAATATCAAAGCCTACCTTGGCTAGCCATTCTTCTATAAACCCCTTTTGAGAAAACCCCTTCTAACAACCCTTTTGAAAAGAAAATAAATAAATATTAACATCCCTTCTTTCTTTTCTCTTAACCCTTATGGCATTAAAATGGTACCGAAAAGATACACGGAAAATGCACAGTGAATACTCACAGAGGGAAGGCCGAGATGTCCTCCAATAGAGGTTAGAGACGCTTGACCACACATCAGCTAGATAGTCAAGGAGCCACTGAAGCTTAGGCTCAAAAGAACATATCCCGACGGTAATCAAGATTAGCATGGATAGAGAGAAATCGTCAACATTAACCTTAATGCGTACAGGTTAATTTCCCGACAAAAAAAAACGAATTGCATCTTTAGGAACAAACACATGAGCATAAACTGCATCGCATGCATGAGTTAGGGCATATGGAAGGGCGTTACACAAAAAATAAATGAATCATTCCTGTCTTGCATTTTCATTGCATCCATGCATCCATGCATTATACTTGCCATGGTCAAAGGGAGTCATCAAAACAAAGCATTCGTAAAAGCTCAACAATCAAACAAGCAAGCCTATAAGCATGAAGAGGCCATCTCGCCTTGCTCTTCACCAAATGAAGGATAATTCAAAAAAAAATGTCAAGACCAGGAATGACTTCCTAACCAAAGCCAAAAGTGGCATAAAAACAATACTCGTCAATAAAGATTCAGCACATAACATCATTATGAAAATAGATCCCTTCATCAACGATGACAATTAAAAAAAATGAGAAAAAGGCAAGTTTCGTAAATGTTGAAAAAGCCGAAACATTAAAAAAAATAATAATAAGAAAAAATAGCAAAAAAAAAAGGCAAGCTTCAAACATGAAAGAGCCGAAGCTAAACAAAAATGAAATTCAGAAAAAATCTACCAAAAGCGGGTGCCTGGAGAGGCATCACAATACTCAAGTAGCAGGGGCAACATTAGAATCCCTATCAACCATCTACTTCTCTGCCCACCAACACAGGGGCACATCAAACATTTCCTGCCCATTCACTTAGGGGCAATCTTTCATTCCACAACACTCACAAGAAGACATCAAGTACAAGATCGGAAAAGGGTTGCTAGATCCCTAAAACTAGTACAAGATCGGTAAGGGTTGCTAGATCCCTAAAACTAGTACAAGATCGGTAAGGGTTGCTAGATCCCTAAAACTAGTACAAGATCGGTAAGGGTTGCTAGATCCCTAAAACTAGTACAAGATCGGTAAGGGTTGCTAGATCCCTAAAACTAGTACAAGATCGGTAAGGGTTGCTAGATCCCTAAAACTAGTACAAGATCGGTAAGGGTTGCTAGATCCCTAAAACTAGTACAAGATCGGTAAGGGTTGCTAGACCCCAAAACTAGTAGTGGGCCAGCTGAAGCCCTAAATATCAATCTAGCTTGGAGAGGCTGAGCTCAGAATATACTCCCTTTTTAACAAGCCACAAATAAAGAAGCACACTACCATGGGACAAGCAGAAGCAGTAGGAAACATCTACATCAAGACCAGAAGCCTAGATGTTTCGGTTTACCATCCTTATCACCCGACGAGCATATAAACCAACACTCAGTTGCTCTTAGGGACAAGGATACAGGCAAACATCATCTACCCGAAAGAAATGGTGTGAGGGCATCTACACTGTTGAAGCAAAGGAGAAGATTCGGACACAGAAAGCGACATGGGACATTCACATGGATCTTGAAGCCTAGATGTCTCGGTTCACCATCCTTGACACCTAATAGAGCATACAATCCAACACTCAGTTGCTCTATGGGGCAAGGATATAGGGAACACCGTCTACCCGAAAGAAACAACGTGAAGGTATCTATTGACAAAACAAGAGTGAAGATCCAAATTTTCATCTCACTATCATAAGAGAAACAATGGAACTTCTACTCGAAGACTGAAGATCAGGTGTACAGTTTGTCAACCTTGTTACTCAATAGAGTACGCAACTACTCTAAAAGGTGAGGATACGAACAAATACACCTATCCAAGGGAAGCAACGTAGAAGCGACACATAAAGAGACAAATAGAAGATCCGGACGAAATGTCTGTCTTTTCTTGCCTTTGGAAAAGCAACACATTACTATTCCAAAGGACAAGTAAAGAGGGACAGTTATAGACACCTAATTTTGTCCGGGGACATACAAACAAGGGAATAGACCTCTGTTATGAAGGGAAGGAGCTCTCAAAGAGTGCAAACGACAAGATAGGACTTTAGAAGGTCCAAAAGCCCAAATAAGCTAATTTTAGAAGACTGCAACGGGCTGTTCCAAAAACCGGAACGGGCCGTTCCCAATTTGGAACGGGTCGTTCCAAGTTTTAAAAATGGCCAACAACCCTAATTTGGAATGGGTTGTTCCTAAATTGGAACGGGTCATTCCAGGATTGGAACAGACCGTTCCAAATTCTTCAAAAGAGGGCCAAAACTTTAACTAGAACGGGCCGTTCCCAAACTGGAACGGGTCGTTCCAAGTTATAAAAAGAGCCTAAACAACCTTGTCTGGAACGCCCATTCCACTCTAGCCAATTGTGTGTTAATTTCACCTCTGAAACGGGTCGTTCAAGTTCCAGAACGGGTCGTTCTAATCACAAAATTAACACACAACGTTCATATCCAGAACGGGCCGTTCCGATTTTGGAACGGACCGTTCTGGACCCTTACTGAAGTCTATAAATAGACATCTGGGACTCATTTCTCAGGACTCCAAAATTTCGTCCAGACTTCTTAGAGCACGAAATTTTTCTCTTTTTCTCTCTCCCCTCTCTTTTGTATTTACTGAGATTTTTGTGAGACATTGTAGTGTGAAGGGTTGCCACAAAGCACCTAAAATCTTCTTATTTTGAAGATTCAATAGAGTTCATTCAAGAGGTATTTCAGTTAATCTTTTTCTCCTTTTTTATTTATTTCTTCTCTATAATTAATATTGTTATAATAAAAATAATCATGTAGACATTCTAGGGTTAATTATATAATTTAAATTTCAAGCATGTAAATAATTATTAATAAAAGAGGATTTAATATTTCTATTATTATTATTTATAATTCTAACTTCATCATAGGGTACCGATTAAGGGCATTGTAGGGGTGCTTAATACCTTCTCTACACGTAACCGGCCCCCGAAACCAATTCTGGTTATAAGGCCATTATTGGACTTTTAAAAAAACCTTTTCTTTTTCCAATGTTTTGAATAGAACATTGGTGACGACTCCATGAACTCATTTTTTAAAATCATTAATTAAGGATTAGTTTGGTGTCCGGGCATTCCTTAATTGATGAGACTTTTAAAAGGATATATCTAAACCATTAGTCGCAAGATCGGAAATTTTCGGGTTGCGACAAATCAGACTCAATTAAAAGGTTTAAAAGAGTTGTACTCAAGTGTCACTGTAAGCCCTTGTAGTGTCTTAACTCTTAACACTGCTCTAACTTGGAATGAGACAACATATCCTCTCCTTAAACTTTTAACCAAAATAAATAAATAGAGAGTAGTACTTACAGTTTGTTACACTCTGGATACTTTCATTGAGCTTCATACATCCAGAATGAATATAGGCTTTAACTCTCTTAGTTTCATTAGCTACAATTATATTCTTGACTAATTTAGAATTCATATCTATAGGAGGCCTCCCAATAAATTCTGCACAACACAAATAATGTTATAACATCAGTGAATGAATTAGTAAGCAATATTATTATTTTACACTAACACATGTTTACACAAAATTTTGTAGAACTACCAAGTGCTTGTTGAAAGCCAGACAGCAACCTGCTTCCAGCAATGCCCAACTCATCAAATTTTGTAATCCTATCAAAGGGTAGTTGTTGAGATATAAATTTATACAAATATGTTATGTGATACAAAGAGTACAGAACATATATGTGCCTTGTGTGTTTGTATGTACAAGTGTGCGTGTGTCTAAGGCCTGATGCTTATGTCATAAGAGCATAACAAGAAATTTTCATAATGCATTATTCTATCCATTTCTTAACTATTTAACATTTATCCCACTATGTCTTTCATGAGTAGTAATCATCACCTCCAACTGCTAGGAGTAAGGGTCATTTATAGTTATTGCACATCTTTTATTTATGTGTGTATAATGCAACGAGTAGGTTTGAACCTAAGACCCCATACAAACTATACAAAAGTCCCACCACTAGACTAACCCTAATGAGTATAGTTATTGCATATCCAGAACTAATTAACTTGAAATCATTAGTAATGAGCTACTGATCAGCATTTACGTGGTATGTGATATGTCTTGAAATCAAATCTTCATGATCATGATCTTTTGCCTTCCTACTAAAAGTAAAACAAAATCTTCCAAGAACTTCAACTGATGCTTATAATGTTTGTACCCATGCAAAAAAAATTTCTTAAATTATTTCATTACATGCCTAGACATGAATTCAATTTATTGATTTGAAGCTGCTTCAAGAACTCCATGTAAAACTATGATTCTTGTAATGAGGTACTCATGAGAACGAAAATATTATTTCATATGAAGTAGTTCTCAATCTCATCTTACCAAGAACAATCCCATGGAATTTTTCAATTTTGAAGGGCAAGTGCCAGTCAAGGCAAACCTAATTTGTTTACTCCATAAAAAAATATAACTACCAAGTATATACCAATGAATCTTGGCAGTTGGCATAGAGAAAAATAAGAAAAAGGCTAAAAAGTAGTAAGATTGGCAATTACCCTGTCATAAAATCTCTGAATTTGTGAAAAATTTCTTTCTCTAAGTCAGAAATTGATTTGCCTTCCTTGATTTCCATTCTGCAATTTATATGAAAAAGAGAGAAATTCATAAATAAATTAAATATGAGAAATAGGCCTTAGTAAATCACATCATAGAAAATCACATTCTTGCAATCTTGCCTCAATTCTAGACTCATAGGCTAAAAAAACTCCAAAAAAGCAAGTTGTATCAGGTAATTTTAAAGAGTATATGTATAACACATAGTAGTCAATCCCGGATAGCGGAGCGGAGCAGTCGACCCTAAAAACGGGATAGCGGGATGACGCGGAGCGAGATAACCGCTATTTTAATATTAATTTATATATATTAAATAATTAATAATATATATATAAAAGCCAAAAAGAAATCTGCTGAATTAAATTTAATTAAAAATTAAAAAAATCTGCTGAATTAAATTTAATAAAAATTAAAAATAAAATCTTCTGAATTAAATTTTAATTAAAAATTAAAAAAAATTGCTGAATTAAATTTCATCAAAAATTAAAAAAAAATCTGCTGAATTAAATTTAATTAAAAATTAAAAAAAAATCTGCTAAATTAAATTTAATTAAAAATTAAAAAAATTGCTGAATTAAATTTAATTAGAAATTAAAAATAAAATCTTCTGAATTAAATTTAATTAGAAATTAAAAAAAATTACTGAATTAAATTTAATCAGAAATTAAAAATAAAATCTGCTAAATTAAATTTATTTAGAAATTAAAAAAAACTGCTTAATTAAATTTAATGAGAAATAATAAAAAAAATCTGTTGAAATATAAAATAAGAATAGAAAAGAGAAAGAAGACAGACGGGGCAGTTGGAGCGGAGCAGCGTCGGAGTCGGAGCTGGAGGCGCGCGTCGGAGCTAGACGAGCTCGGAACTAGACGACACCGGAGCTGGACAAGCGTTGGAGCTGGACAACAGCGTCGGAACTGGAGGACCTCGAAAGCGTAGTGCGTCGGAGCTGGACGAGAAGAAACTCGTCCAAGGAGTGCGAGAGTAGAGAGAGAGGAGAGGGAGTGCGCAAGTGAGAAAAGGAGACTTCCGCGAGAGGGGGAAAAATTAGGGCAAATAAAGCCCAACGGAAAGACAAACTTACCCTTAATGAAGGGTAGGTCAAACAACGCGCCGCGATTCTCGCGTTTCTGGCCGCTCCGCTCCACCGCCGACACGGCCGCTCCGGCCACGACACTCATCTCTGACGCGACAACATCCAAATGGCAAGGTCGGGCCGCTCTGCTCCAGAGCGCCGCAATAGCGGCCGCTCCGCTCGCTATTGACTACTATGCCTAGAAAGAATTTGAAATTCTTCATAATTACTTTCTATTTCTTGTCTCACCTCTGTATCTGTCCTCTATCCTTTCTCCCTCTCCTCTTATATCTCACCTCTTTTCCCTCACTCTCCTCTCCTCTCCTTTCTCACTTCTCTCTCTCTCTCTCTCTCTCTCTATCTCCCCTCTCATCTCTTCTATCTTATTTCACTCTCCTTTCTCTTCTCTCCCTCTCTTTCTTTCCTCTCCTCTCTCTCTATCTTTCTTCTCTTTCCCCTCTCTCATCTTCTTTCCCTTTTCTCTTTATTCTCCGTCTCTCTCCTCTCTCTTCTTTCTCCTCTATCAATGTTGAGGTACAAACCATCAATAATTATATTCAATCATTCAATGTAAAACGTATTTTAAATTAATAAATATTTTTTAATATTAAAATCATTTTTAAATCATTAAATTAAATATTGTTTAATATTAAAATTACTTTTAAATTATTAAATATATAAAATTGGCAAATGTTTATTTTTTTCCAAATTTTATATTAAATTTTGCATATGGTGAAACTTAAATTATCCTATCCAAACTAAGAATTTTGAATTGATTTATCCAAACAAAACATTTAGTAAATGAAGGAAACTTAAATCAAATTAATTCAAATTTTAAGAACTTGAAATTCCCTGAAATTTTAAAATTTCTCATCCAAACACAACCTAGAAAATAATAAAAGGAAATGGAAACAACAATGATATTTTCCCAGGCTTCATCCCCACAATTTACAAACCCCTCACAATCACAAGCTCCCATGCAAACCATTAGATGATCCAATGTTCCCCTGTAATCTATTTTTCTGCAGGAACCAGATGGATCCAGTTTCAAGTATGTGAGGACGAAGTCTGTTCAGGATTATTGCGAAATTTGAAAAGCTATATTCAAAAAATAGTTACATGCTAAGAATATAAAATTGAAATCTCCCAAAAGAAAAAGTATATCTCGGAGTCAAATATAATTCACATATCACGCACTATGTTATCCAGATTACCATTATAAGTCCTGCACTTCAACCAAACAATGAACATAAAATAAAACCTGTGTACCCTCGCTCAAAACTAACACAGCACATAAATACATACCAGCATTTATTTATTTTGAACTATTTCACGAGTACATAATCATTTAACCTTTTCAACCACAGATTTGAGAACTTAACTTTTTTATCTTAAAATTGGCGCCAAGCCCAAAGGAGGGTTGTACTAAGCCTTCAGCAGGAATGTAAATCTTGTCATAATGCCAAACATGGACTACTCAAGAGTCAAGAAAGATTATGCGTGCTATTGCTTGGCCATTACTCAAAAGTAACACAATATACTGCTCAAGTAAAACGTTAAATGAGTTGGTGCAACTGCATCAGTGTCAAATTAGCAAAGGTAGGTCTTTACATTTTTTGGGGATTGATGGGGGTAAAAAGCTAGTCCAAGAGTGCCTTAATTAGGTTTGGTAGTTGAAATATTGGTACTTTGACATATAAATCTTTGGACGTGATGACATCATGATACAAAAAAGGAATAACATCGTGTGTCTACATCAAACTGAATAGGTTAGAGATAAAGAGAAAGAGCCTAGCATTATAAGAGTTAAACTTTGGTACACAACACATGTAAACTTAAAGAAAAGAATGACATAGGTATTATTGTGGACAAGGTTTATAAATAAAGTGCATTGAATGTAAAAAGGACTAGAGAAAAATTTATCTTTAAAATTAACTAGTATTATAGCATATGCGTAGCAAAGAATAAATATATATTTTTCTATAATTAAAATTCATAAAACTAAATATCTTTGAATAAATAAAATATTTTTTATTTATAATGAGAAATTTAAATTGTGACAAGAAAAAATTATTTTTAACTATTAACAATTTCTTTTTAAAATATTAAAATTTAATTTAGTGATATAGATAAAAAAAAATGATAGATTAAATGGAATAGGTGGCTGAAAAATCAAATATAGTAAAAGGAGAGTAATTTGAGATGGTTCAGAAAGAATTTTTTGACTAGTGATTAAGGACAATGTGAAATGCACATCAAAATGTGAGAAAGATAATATTCAGAATGTCTAATTGAGAAATAGTCTCAATACGGAGTAGAATGGATGTGTGGGGGACTATCAATGTCATTGGTGTCTATTCACCACTAGTATCAGAAGCACTTTTAGAGGGTTGGTTCAAGGCTTTCCACAAAAGGGAAGAATCTCACAGGTGACAACATAAATCATGTTGGTTGTGATGCAAAGCAATTTACAGGATTTTATGATAATTTTGGATATCTATTCTTGATTTCTTGGCATATGAATTCAAGATTATTAAAAACTTGTTTTAAGAAGTAAAAGGAACATCTAATCACTTATAAGAGTGAAATCTCAAGGTCACAAATTAATTTAATTTTGGTAAGGAGTTCATAAGTTTGCAAGATGATTGCAAGAGAGTCTTACTACACAACGTAGACATTCATCTCCATTGTCATTAAAAATTACAAATCTAATAACAAAGGGATGGTGGCTTGAGAACGATAAAAATTCTTAGGGTGTGTTTGGAAACCAATTGAGTTCAACTCAAATGGGGTTGAAAAAATAAAAAAAAAAATAAAAAAAAAGATACACTTACAAGCTTTTTACCTTTTCTACATTGGAACATGTGTTTTTGGTTAAAAGTGGTTTCAAAGTGGTATCCAAACATACATTTAGCGGTGAAATGAATGTTTTCAAGATAAAGAAACTGAGTGGAATGATAGTGTTCAAAAATAGGTAAGAAAAAAAGGGAGTATTGTAAGGCCTTTCATGTGCGCAATGATGCTGAAAATTGGAGAAAAAAAATATTGGAAGGCTAAAAATGGGACATAGAAAGCTGCAAGTGAGGCACCATCCAAAGCTTTTTGAGTTTTACCAAGACCTTGGCACAAAGAACGGAAAATGTAGAATTCATTATTTTGCCGAACATTGGAAAAGGAAGTCAAGATGTATGAACCAGGTAAACTAAGGAAGAAGAAAGAAACGTTTGGTTATCGGAGGACATTGTACAACATTATTAAAAGAATATCATGGTAAATGCTGAATAATATCCCTCAAAAATTGATTTTTTAACCGAGTCCAATGGCATCAAGTAATACATATAGCCCACCTCATCAGCTAGTAGAATATTGAATCTTGTTATTCTAGTTGTAAACCACATATTAGAGGCCAAACTCCGGAGTCTGATTTCATTGTCTATTCAAGCTTTAACCAATTAACTTGGGGAACTCTAAAAGATGACACAGCACAGCAGTACAACGCAGTGCTCTAAATTAATCCGCATGAACATTCAGAACCCAGCATTACACCACACAACACTCACCATACAGAATCAGCCACACACAGTTAAATTGCAAACCGATAAAAACAATTTCCACACAGAAAAATCAACAAACAGATTCACCATTCAAACAAAATCAGCAACAACTTGCCTCACGAAGCTGATGTGCACGCCGAGACTACGATGAACGGCGGAGCAATCGATGCAGAGGAAGATCCCATACGTGACGGAAGCCCAGGTAGGGTTCTTCGCATTGCAATCGAAACACATCCGAAAAAATAATATAAAAAAAAAACCGTACGGATTCAAAAATCTAACGCACGAGCACGGGTATCGCAGATCTGACACCAGATCTCGTAAATCAGAAGGCACAAACGAAAAATTGAGAGTAAAAAATAAATTCACGCAACCAGAGATGCTCTTAAATTGAAATTCAAAATTGTAAAGAACAAACCTTATTTTCGGACTTCGCCTTGAGTTTCCTAAACACAAGGTTCTTATCGGTGAAGCCTTCGGACGCCATTGGAAGATCAAAACGGAAAACAAAAACGAAATTATAATAAAAACGAAGCTTAGGATTGGAATTGATTTTTTTTTGTTTTTGAGCTTTTTGCAAATGAATCTCACGGGTGCTTAGGGGAACAGGAACACCACCTGAGCAATATAGATTGAGAGGAAGAAAATTTGCAGGTAGAACCGCAAAACTTGTTGTTTCGTGCGTTTCTATATATTCATTCTCCTCGTGTATCGTTCGTCTTAAAAAGGAGCTTTTTTTTCACAGCGAAGACTGAAATTACGGAAATGCCCTGCAGAGAAATGAGGGAAGGCGTTGTTGGCCTTTGTGTTTTCCGGAGTCGGTGAATTGTTGCTGTCCCTGACCAAGAGAGTACAAATAAATGTTCAGAATTGAACTAAACGTCGTCGTCTCTCCTAGGTATCATTCGTTTTTTAAAATGCTAGTGCCGTCAAAATATAGAACAAGAACATAAATAGAATATTTAATATAAATTTTTATTATATTTAAATAAAATTAATTAATATTTATTTTAAATGATTCAAATATTTAATGAAAAATATTAATGGTTAATTTTATAATTTTGTCAAATTTTTATTTAGATTTGTATAATTAAGAGTTTTTTACTCAAATAATATATTTTTAAAATAAATTTACCCAAATAGCACATGTGCAAATTTATTTTTTTAACTAGCACTATTTACTGTTTACATATTTTTTATTATTTTTTTTTCATTATAGATCCAGGTAATCTGAAAATTTTGCAACTAGAATGGTCCGTTCTGCAACTAGAACAGATTCTCGTCGTGTTTTTTTGGCAATTGGAACGGCTCATTCTTAAACCAGAACGGGTCATTCTAGAGTTGAGTTTTTCACATAACCTCAATGTTGGAACGACCCGTTCTAACTAGGGATTTTAGCCCTTTTTAGTAGTTTGGAACGGCCCGTTCTGCTTTTGGAACAGCCCGTTCTGCCCAATTCTATGCACTACCCTTTATTTTATCAATGTAATATGAATTTTAATGTTTAGCTTATAAATTATTATAATTATACATTATTTGGACATGTTTTCGTAGTGTGATGTGCAGGTTATCTAGATTTTTCATTATTAGCCACAGTTTGACTCGTACAATAAGTTTCGAATCTATTAAGACAAGGTCCCATTATTATCATCTCGTGTTTTTAAGTTTAAGACACTATAGTTTCATACTTCAAAGGTATTTTCTTTAAATCTAGCTTCAAACTTAATATTACAGCAAACACAATTTACCCTTTCAACACAAATACAATGTAGTCTCAAAGAGTAATATCAAGTAATTAAATTTATTGAATATTAACATTATAAATATAACTAAATAAATTTATTAAAACTCATTACAACAATAAAATCAATGGTGACGGGAACTAATAGGGGTGGGCAAAATTAATTAAACTGAACTATAACTGTTAAATAACTGATTTATTTTAAACTAAAAAACTAAAACTAATTAAAATAAAACTGAATTAAACTGTTTTTTAATTGAGTTTTAAAAAACTGTACTTATTTAAATTACAGTTTAGTTAACTGTAAATAACTATTAATTAAAAAGTAAAAGAAGGCAACGCACGACACGGGTTGGCTGCTAGGAATCCCTAACTGGCTGAGTTTATCTAGATGATCCTGCAAAAGTTAAGCGTCTGCTTCTTCCTACCAAGCTCTCTGGTAGTTGTGATGGAAAGAAGGCCACCAAAGCTGATGAATCTTCACCAAGTTTGATGAATTTGCTGATGGGAGTTAAAGTCTTGCAGCAAGCAATCATTGATTTATTATTGGATATAATGGTGGAGTGCTGCCAGCCTTCTGAAGTGGGTCCTGTTGCTGATTCTGTTGAATCATGCTCTAAACCTTCTTCAGATGGCAGTGGAGCTGCTAGTCCTCTTGAGTGTGAAAGAGAAAATGGAACAATGGAGTCTGCACAAGTTCCTGTTAATGAGAGATTGGATTCTGTTGTTGAAGAAAGCAGTAATACATCTGCTGTGCAGAGCTATGATTTAAATGGGAAAGGTATTCAGGGAAAAGCTCTTCCTGGACAGCCTATTTGTCCGCCAGAGACATCTGCCACTGCTTCATAAGAGCTGATTTGTACAAATTTATATTCATAAGAGCTGATTTTTTTTTGCACATATGTATCTATAGTTTTGATTGTGTGAATTTGCAACTTCAGACCAAGTGGCCAGAACAGTCTAAGGAGCTCTTAGGTTTGATTGTGTGAATAAGGCGTGACATGAGGATAATATTAATATGAATTGAAGAGGCTGAGACTGTTCAGAACCAGAATGTGCATTCACTTGTTATTACAGGCTAAATTTTTGGCAGTGTTGATTATTGTACCTTGGGCAATGGACTTTCTGGTTCATGACTATATACTTATGCCATTTTTAGACAGGTATTTATTTATTAATAATCAACTTATGTTTTTCTTGTGAATTCGTGAAATGCTTTTCTATTGGCAGAGTTTTATTCTGTTTTGCTATATTGCTTCAAGATTTGTGCACAAACAGATATGCCTGTAAGTGTGTGCTTCTATCTGCATGCTGTTTTGTAGAAGTGTGATGTGTTTGGAGGACAGGGCGAATGGCAAGTGGATATAGGCTTGGGATGGCTTGCCCATTGTATAGAACTCTAGTGGGCAACGCCAATGTTTTTAGTACATGGAATGAGGCAGAGTATTGAAGTGGTGAGATCAATCTGAGATGTAATAGGTTGCCCATGGCCATGCTAAGGAAACTCAACGTGCACAGGACTATCGTGTGTCACTGAATCAGCTTATATCATGATATATTAAACTGTCCAGAACCAGTTTAGGCACAGTTTAGGCACAGTTTAGGCACAGTTCATGAATAGTTCAGTTCAAAAATAGTGCAGTTCAAAAACAGATTAAGGTGTAGAGCAGTTCAGTTTAGTTTATATTATAGTTCAGTATAGTTCAGTACAGTACAGTTTAATAGAATAAAAAACAGTTCAGTTCAGTTCGTCTGAACTAATATTTAGTTTAGTTCAGTTCATGAGAACTATTTTTAAGTTTAGTATAGTTTTTATAAGTTCAGTTCAGTTCAGTTCATTTTGCCCACCCCTAGGAACTAAATCCATGACCAATATTTGGACATGTCTTCTTAGTGTGACCAGAGGTGTGACAATAGGAACAATTTTTTACACGATTATGTTGTTCTCTAATATCCATCTCTGTTCTAATCCTGCTGGACTTTGCCCGACCCTTGGAAGTCCTCTTGAGTTCTGGATTTGGCCACATAGTTGGACCAGTGTAAGCAGGCTAATAATCTTCATGTCAGAGCTCTCCAAACTGTCATTCGTATACCTTTGCAACTTGTTATAAGGTATATATGGGAGATATGTAGGTTTGATAGTTGTGACGTGCATGTAAGCATGAAGCGAGTACATGCGAGCAAGGGATATGAATTTTCTGGAACTTGCCACAATCACACCACATTTAATCTAGCCTTACTGTAAATCTCCTAGCGGGTCAAACTTCTCTCGAATGTTGTGTTTCTTCCACTAGAAATCTAGTGCTTGATCTGTCAAAGGTGATAACTCTATGAGTATTTGCCTTAGACTGTGCATCTTGAATAGTTTTACTTGCAATTTCTGAGTATACATGTCCAGCATTAATCATTGCATCCACTTCTCTGCCTCTTTGAACGAAAAACTTGTTGCAACGAGTGTATGTGGCCATTACCATGGAACAAATTGGCAGATTTCGTGTTTTCTTCAATACAGAATTAATAGACTCAGCTAGGCTTGTTGTCATGTGTCCCCAACGTCGTCCATTGTCCCATACTAGTGTCCATTTTTCCCTAAGAATGTTGTCTAACTATTAGGCTGCTTCAGCATAGTATCTCTTACTATGTTGTAATAGTAAATCTAGGTTCAATCATCTCATAAGCTGAAAAAAAATAATAACTAAATAATGAAAACTAATTATTAAATGTTTTAAAGAAAGTAATGATAAAATTACCCATGTTGGCGACATGCTTCTTCAGTGCTGCATTTTTGAATCATCGCATGAAGTTTTGTGCAATGTGTCGAATATAATAGACATGGACAAAATTATTTTCTGTCCAACCACTTCCATTTCTTGAGTATGCACTTCGAATAGCCTCATGACGATCAGAAATTAGGCACAACCCGTCTTGCAGTGTTACATACCGCCTTAAGTTCTTAAGAAAAAAAAATCATGCATCGCTAGTTTCACCTTCAACAACAACAAATGCAATAGGAATTATGTTGTTGCGGCCATCTTGCGCAACTGCGACCAATAACGTACCTTTGTATTTGTCGTATAAAAATGTTCCATCAACTTGAACAATTGGTTTGCAGAAGGCAAAACCATCAATGCATGGTTTAAAGGTCCAAAATAACCTTTTGAATATAACATTCCCTTCTTCCAATAAGCCACCTTGGTAAGCCGGTTGCGTATTAAATTTCCAAATAAAGCCTGGAACATACATTTGCATTGCTTGCAACATAACTGGTAACTTGTTGTACGAATCCTCCCAGTTTCCAAAGATGTTTTCAATGGCATGTTGCTTGTGCAGCCATCCTTTTTTGTAACTAATTGTATAACACATGGTCAACTTGATGTGGGCTATGATGGTTGAAATGGGTGTAGATGGATTATCCTCAACAATTTCACGAATGGTTTGAGAAATCATTTGTGATCCCAATTTATTATGATCTTGGGAGATGAGTGAAGAAACACATGTGTGAGGGCCTTTAAGGATCATGATTTCCCATTGTTGTTCTCTAGTGCGCAATATAGCACGACATCTCCATTCACAATCGTGGTGAACGTATTCCACGAGAAGCCTAGTAGTATTTGAGTGCTTAACCTTGTAAGTGCAATGGTTGACAATGTGAAATCTGTTAATGGCATCTTGTTCTTGTTCTTTTGTTTGGAAGCGTTGGCCAACAAAGAGTGTTCTAGGTGGATACATAACCATTTCACGTTCTAACAGATGGCTATACTCAGTGTCTTGTTGTTGGATTTCATTGGGAAAGTCTAAAAAGTGTGGAGGTGGGTTGTATATGGCTACTGGTTCTAATGGTGGATTATTTGGAACTGGAAGGATTTCTTCTTCATCATCATCTTGATGTTCAAAGAGAATTTCGTCTTCGTCTTCGCTAAAAGGATCAAAGACATTTTCTGTTGGGAGACCAACAAGAAGATGATCTTCAATGTTGGTTTGAATATTAGGATGAGAGGAAGAAGTTGTAGCTTGGTCAAATGGCTGAGAAGGTATTTGATTAAGGTCCATGACTCGACCAATTAAAAGTTGTGTGTATGACTCAACGTCGTGGTTGGAGGGAATATCATAAGAAGGGTGGGTTAGTGTTTTGATAACTTTGATAAATTTGGTATGGTGAAAGTGAAGGTGAAACTTGTGGTGAAAGTGAAGGTATTTATAATGGAAGGTTCAGACACCTAGAACGGCCCGTTCCAAACTTCTAAAAAAGTCTAAAACCCTAGTTTAGAACGACCTGTTCTGGTTTTAGAACGATCCGTTCTTGGTGTTAGAACAGCTCGTTCTAACTTTAGAACGGGGCCGTTTCAGATGCACAATTTTTGCATATTCAAGCAGAACGGCTCGTTCTACAACCAGAACAGGCTGTTCTGGTTGCAGAACAGTAAATGGTGCTAGTTCTAAAACGCAAAAAAAATAAAAAATAATTGAACAATAAATGGTGCTAGTTAGAGAAATAAATTTACAAAGTTGCTATTTAGGTAATTGTTTTAAAAAAATGTATTATTTGAGTAAAAAATTCTCTAATTAAAAATACCTTAAAAAGATTCATAAAGTTTAAAAATTTTATGATTCAATTATTTATCGACTTCCACAATTATAATTCTATTAATTTATATTGATCAAATATTGGGACGTGATAATTATTTTTTAATATAGTAAGTAAATATTTTTTAATTTTATTTATTTAAATATCTCTAATTAAATCTCTTGTTTTAATATTTTAATAATTTTATATTAAATATGAATATTTATGAGAGTATTTTTAGTGTTTCTTTTAACAAGAGTGTTTGTAGGGATTTCTTTAATTTTTATCTAATTCAATTTTTATATATCATGATTATTTATTAATTAAATTAAAATAATCAATTTTTATATATTAAATACAAATTTTTATCTTGTACGAAAACGTTTTTAGGAACTTTTCTTCAATGATAGGGTTTTTAGGAATTTTTTTAACTTTTTAAATAATTTGATTTTTATTTATCATAATTATTTATGAATTCAAATTTTAATATTTCAAAATAAATCAACTTCTGTATATTAAACACAAATTTTTGTTTTACAAGAGACTATTTTTTAGAGATTTTTCTTCAATGAAAGAACTTGGGCATATCATTTTGAAACATATTTCAAAATTAAACAAAAAGGATTTAGAAAGAGGATTGCTTGAGATTTCTTAGAAAAAACATTTTCTCTATGAAGCATGTTACAAGGGAAAACAAATTAAAACATTTTTTAAATTTAAAAAGGTTGTTTCCACTTCTAGACCATTAGATTTGTTACATACGGACTTGTTTGGACCAATTAGAACTCTTAGTCTAGGAGGTAAAAAGTATGGATTTGTCATCATAGGTGACTATTTTAGATATACATGGGTATACTTTCTAGCTCACAAACATGAGTCTTTCAATGTCTTTGAATTATTCTATAAGAGAGTCCAAAATGAAAAATGTTTTTATATATCTACCATTAGAAGTGATCATGTAACTAAGTTTGAAGACTCAAATTTTAAAATGTTTTGGGGGAAAGAATGGTATGTTCCATAATTTCTCTTCATCGCAAGCACATCCACAAAATGAGGTAGTTTAAAGTAAAAATTGAACTTTACAAGAAATGACCAAAACTCTTCTTTAAGAAAACTCTTTGCCAAAACATTTATAGGCAGAAGTTGTTAACATAGGTTGTTATATTATAAACAAAATATGGATCAAATCATTGTTAAATAAGATTCATTATGAAATGTGGAGAGGATGAAGATCCAACATATCATACTTTCATCTATTTGGATGTGAGTTATATATTCTTAACACTAAGGATCAACTTGGAAAATTTGATTCTAAAGTGGGTAAGGGTATCTTCCTTAGATATTTTAATACCTTAAAAGCATATAGAGTTTTCAACTCTAGAACATCTATTGTAAAAGAATCAATTCATGTGAAGTTTAATAATGTAGTAATGACTGATAGGAAACTATTATATTTAGAAGAAGACTTTACAAATTTGCATAATGAACCTAAGAAGACCTTTGAGACAAACACAAAAGAACAAACTATTGATCAATTTGAAGAATAAACGAATTAGAGAGACGATACATCTAGACCACACCAAGATTGGAAGTTTGTCACCTATCATCCTCAAGATCAAATTCTTGGAGATAGAACCAAGTGAATCAAGACAAGGTTTGTCTTCAGAGGCAATGCTTTTTATGCTCTCTCAAAAATTGAGCCAAAGATGATAGATAAAGTTGTTAAAGACAACAAATGGATCCCAACCATGCAAAACAACTTCATCAGTTCGAGCGAAATGATGTTTTGATGCTTGTTTCTAAGCTTGAACATCAAAGCACCATTGGAACCAGATAGGTCTTAAAAACAAGCTAGAAGAACTAGGAAAATTGGTAAAAAAAAATAAAGTTAGATTAGTAGCTCAAGACTACAACTAGCAAGAAAGTATTGATTTCACTAAAACTTTTGCACATGTAACTAGACTCAAAGCTATAAGAATCATATTAGCCTTTACAACTCATAAAGACATCAAACTTTTTCAAATTAATGTAAAAAGAGTTTTCTTAAATAATATCATAGAAAAGAAATGTTAGACAATATTATGGTTTTGAAAATCCCATTTAAAAAAATCATGTTTTCAAACTTACAAAAACTCTTTATAATCTTAAACAAACTGCTTGTAACATCCTCATTTTCTTCTTCTTCTTTTTTTTCTTCAGACCAATATTCTATTTATTATGATTATTAATATATGCATATATATATATATATTAAAAATATATATATATATATAAGGTAGATTAGAAAAATTATTTTTAAGGAGCTTAAAAAATATATAATAATAATAATAATGATAATATGATAATAATGATATTAAAACATTACTTATATTTAATAAAATTTTAAAATAAATACATAGACAATCCAGAAGTTAAATATTAGACTTAATGTTTACGCAAGATTGAAAATCACATGAGAAATGTATTGTTTTTTTTTTAATATTTAAGTATGATTAAGTACAAAAATTTAAAATCAAAATTCCTATTTTCTTGTCTACAAAATATGAACAAATATTGATTAATGGATCAAAACCCCTTCTCACTCAAAAACTTCTCACTCTCTTGAAGAAGTAACCTTAGGCTTTCCACTCAAAGCAACCACCTGGGATATATTTTTCTTTTTTGTAAACAATGGTGTAGTTCTTCTGCTTCAATACTTCATAATGTTTAATAGAAATTTATATTTTTTCTATTTTGTAAACAATGGTGTAGTTAATTTAGTATGTTGTGTAATAAAAATTATTATAGTCATTAATTTTTTTTTTACTATCTGAAGTATTTAAGTTTAAGTGTTAGTATTCATATCTCTAATTAAATATTTCTAATGAAGCTTATCGTCAGTTTTATTAAGAAGTGTTCGAAAACAATAGCTATCCTAAAACTTCTAATAGTAAAAGGAAGAAAAAATAAATATAAAACAAAAAATTAAAAAAAAAAACAAAAAAACATAAAACGAAAAGGGAAAAAGAGAAGAAAAGTACCATAATATATTAGTAGCGTTTAGCGTTAAATGAAGGATTCTCCTGTCTGCATCATATCTCCAAGAAAGTACAGAGTTACAGACTTCGAAACTTTCATCCGTATCATCCTCCGACTATTAAAAAATTAATATTTTTTAATAAATTTATTATAAAATAATTATTTAATTTAATATTTTATAATTTAAATTATTATTTTAATTATTCAAAATGTATTTTGGATTCGCAAGTATTATCATTTTCCCTCCAATGATGATATAATGTGTGTTTATATTAGATTCTAAACGTGAATTTTTACGTTTGAGTAAAAGGAACAAATAATAATATTTGTATAAATTTATTGTTGAATGTGAAGAGAGAAGAAAAAATTCCATTCTAAAATAAAATCCGGATATACTAATGTGAAACATTAGTTGGTTAATCTATTCATCTATTTGTATAATTCCATAACTACTTAATCTTATTCCTCAAATTATGGCTGTCATTATTTAAATTCTGATGTCCATTTAAGTTTTATTTAAATTCAGTATTCAAATTCTAATGTGTAATTTAAATTATGTCCTTCATTTAAATTCTATTTTTAAAAAATTTTGTCATTATTTACTATTCCAGTATTTAAATTTAAATTCTCATATCCATTTAATTTTTTTTAAAATTTTGTTATTATTTAAATTCTAATGCGTAGATTTAAATTATGTCCTCCATTTAAATTTTGACATTAGTTATTCTTTAATCCATCATTTAAATTTAAATTCTGATATCCATTTAAATTTTATTGTTTAAATTCTATTATTATTCCAATGAGTAGATTTAAATTGTGTCTTTCATTTTATTCTGCAATTATTTACCATTTCAATATTTAAATCTAAAACTATGATATCCATTTAAACTCTATTGTTTGAATTTTGTCATTATTTAAATTTCATTATGCAAATTTAAATTATGTCTTCCTATTTATTTTCATTATAATTGTGTTGTATTTGAGTTTGTTGAATTATTTATTGATATATTTAATTTCATGATTATAAGTTATCTAAATAAATTAAATAAGAAAAATGTGTATTTGCAAATTAATATTTAAAAAATAAATGATTTTTATAATTATAACAAAATTTTAATAATAGGAAAATTTCTTAATATTTTCTATAGTTGCAATGCAGTCTGATCATCCACATCAGAAAAGATTCTTCGTTATATTAAAGTCAACTTAACTTGTAAAAATGACATTGTACAAAGCATTTTATTTTTGAGAAATTTTATCTTTTTAATAATTTAATTCAAGAATTTATAAAAGGTGACGGATAAAGAAAATAAGGTAATATAAGAAACTACAAATACAATTCCACAGGTACGAATTACTATCTGTTTGTATAATAATTACTTAAATTCAAAATTTTGCAATATTTCTCATTATTATTTTCAATGTCTCTGAGAATGATATAGTATAATGTGACTACTATAGTTGATAT